TCAGATATTAAGACATACTCACACCCAGAAACTGCTCTGAGGGACAGAGATCATCTGAAGGGAATGAGCAGATGCTAAGGACAAGCCATGAAGACCTCACAAAATGACAGCAATGGCCACCCATGATCAGGGCCTCCTAAGCTCTTAAGCTGCCCATGGGGAGAACACAAGTCTCTTTTCCAAGAAGAGTAAAGCCTTGATAGAGTGCACTTGCTCAGATATGCTCAGCTACCCAGCTCTCTCTGACAGGAACTGCTTGCACTAAACTCCCCACTCATACCAACTGAGACATTGCTAGAAATCTCTCAAGAATGATTCCCACGGCCAAAGCAGGGACAAGGGCAGAGTCAACAAAGAGTACCTGAAGCGCCCCATTCCTGTCTACCATGCACCACAGCTCAGAAATGAGTCTGGAAGCCTCCATTCCAACAAAAGAAAAGGGGAACAGACCCAGCCCCTGTCAGGGCTGTGACGGCCACAGAACAAAAAGGAGGTCCCGCTCAGCAACTAGGGCAGGCTCTGATCGCAACACTGGCCACACCCCAAATTAAAGGGATAACAGGCAACACACACAGAAGAAAGATGGGACAACCATCCATACTGAAAACAGACCTCACAACAAAATTATCAGAGGCTCACAGCTACACAGAAATGCATCCTCTTCAGAAATCTGTCAGAAAGGCCAAAGTAAAAGACGGTGTTAACACCAAATTCTGGAAAGAACGCAGAGAATCTGGATTACTCAAGCACTGCTGGTGGGAATGTAAAATGGCACAGGTGATCTGGAAATGACTATGGCACTTTTTTACAAAACTGAACGTGTATTACCATACGACCCAGCACCGTGCACTTTTGGGCATTTATCCCAGAAATGAAACCCCTATCTTCACACAAAAACTTATGCATAAGTGAGCACAGCAGTTTTATTTATATTAGCCACAAACTGTAAACAACCCAAAAGTCTTTCAATGGGTGAATGGTTTAACAAAATGTAGTACACTCATACCATAGACTACAACTCAGCAATAAAAGGAATGAAATATTGATACACGTAATGTACCCACAAGATCCATTTGGGTGGGTCCCAAGAGAATTATGCTGAATGAGAAAAAGCAATCCCAAAAGGTAACATACAATATTATTTCTTTTATAACATTCTTCAAATGACAAAATGGTAGAGACAGAAGACATTAGTAGTTGCCAGAGGAAGGTGGAGGGAGTGAGGTTGGGGAGGAGTGAGCTATGGCTATAAAAACATAGCACAAGGAATCCTTGTGATGGAACCATCCTGTTTCTTTGAATATACTGGTAGTTATATGAACGTACATGTATAAGTTCCTTAGAACTAAATAAACATACATATACACAACCCTCCTTCACTGCTGGTGGGAATGCAGTTTCGTGCAGCCACTGTGGAAAACAGTATGGAGATTCCTCAAAAGACTATGAATAGACTTACCATATGACCCAGGAAGCCCACTCCTGGGCATATATCCAGAAGGAACCCTACTTCAGGATGACACCTGCACCCCAATGTTCATAGCAGCACG